TTCGAAATTATATAACTTTTTTAATACTTTATAAATTATATTACAAGTTTACAACATTTAAAAATTGTTAATGCGCTTATAATGTTTATTTATGGGCCTTTCACCACATTTAAAAATAATACTTACACATAAACAATAATGAGAAATTATATCTAAAATTTAAAATTTAAGCACAAAGTATTATCTTTAAGCACAAAAAAGATACGGAGTACTATATTAGTTGGGCTAATTGTTAAGAACTAAAAACTTAAATTTAAACATCATAAACTATAATGATAAATTATATTAGTAAATATAAATATGTAAATAATTACATGTGTACATGTAAATAAATAAATAAATTAGTGTATATATATATACATATAGGGAGCGGTTCATGTGAGAACACTCTCTTAGGAGAGGGAAAAAGAACAAATTTGGACCATCCATTCTATCAATCCTGCGGCTTGAATTCAAGTGGACCGTGATATTATTAATATCAATTTGATCACATGGGATTTTTATAAAAAGGAAAAATTGGATGGTAGTTATATGTAAGGGCATTTATGTCAAATAGTGGAAAATTAGTTGCACACGTTGTTGCTATTACTCCCTACAAATTAGGCTTATTAATACTCATTAAATGAGTCACAACATTTCCTTTTGCCAAATCCACTACATTATTTTAACTCCGATTCAAATATTTTCTATATTAAAATGCACATTTACATGATTGTTTATTTCATTCAACTTTTTCTTATATTAAATATTCTCTAAGAACTTGTTTTGGTTCCTCGCAATTTTCTATGGGGCATATAAGTGAATAAGCATTGCACTTTTACATAGAGAATTATGCATGATATAAGATTTTATTAAATACTCACTTTTTATTTTCAAATCAATAATCAATTATATTTCAGGTCATTAATAAACTTCATTCTAAAGCACTTTTATATTAATATACGCAATATTATGTTAAATACTTTTTCAGGTCATTAATAAACTTCATTTTAAAGCACTTTTATATTAATATAAGCACATTTATTAATAGTAATGAACACTTTTGTGTAGGTATTTTCTAAATTCTTGATGCACTTTTATTTTATGATTGTTCACTTTGAAGTTACATTATAAGTTATAGAAACAAAAATAATTTTTTTTGTTCAACTGGGAGTGTACTTCTATTTTAAGTGTAGAAATGCACCTTTGAGTTATCGTAATGCACTTTCAAGAATTAATAATGCACACCCCATGAATAATTATATAAAGTGCAATGTGTATGAGCATAAATTTAACATGCACTTGTTATCTCATTAACTTACATTTTTATTTAAGTTGTAATTTCACAACTAAGCCAATACATTTGTGTACAATTTTTCCATATGTACCGAATGCACAATTCTAAGGATTACACACCAAATGTGCAGTATTTATAGAATATTGGTGCACTATATTTACTAGTACATGCATCATTCTTTCACATGTGAAGAATGCACAATTCTAGGGATAAAAATGCACAAACATTGTTCAATACAACTTCTAGATATGTATCAACTACTCATATTTTAGTCGATACACAATATCATAATGTGAAAATCATATCTCCAAAATACACAATTAAAACAATTTAAAAATTGACATAGTCACGAGTAATTAATATAATATGTATAAAATAAAAAATGTATAATTAGAAGTAAAAAATGCACTATTGAAATCATAAAAGTGCATAAATAAATAGGTTAAAAGGAATGAAGTATTACGTAATAAAAAATAAAATAAATATATTCAATAATGTCTTGAAAAGGTGATTGTGATAGCAAAAAGAATTAATTCATATAGAATTGAAGAACACAAAAGAAAAAGTAAATACGACTTTGATTGGTAAGCAATTAGAAAGTGTAATTAATGATCCTAAAAAATAGGGGGCTAACAATTCAGATGGTGATGAACAAACAAAATGAAATAAGGTGAATTCTCTAATTTGCTCAATTATCCTTTAAGTGCATAAATAAATAGGTTAAAAGGAATGAAGTATTATGTAATAAAAAATAAAATAAATATATTCAATAATGTCTTGAAAAGGTGATTGTGATAGCAAAAAGAATTAATTCATATAGAATTGAAGAACACAAAAAAAAGTAAATACGACTTTGATTGGTAAGCAATTAGAAAGTGTAATTAATGATCCTAAAAAATAGGGGGCTAACAATTCGGATGGCGATGAACAAACAAAATGAAATAAGGTGAATTCTCAAATTTGCCCAATTATTCTTTACGTACGTGATTCTCCTAATTCATAGGTCAATCTAATGGCTAAAATCTATTCTTTTTTACTCTCCTAAGATTAAGTTCTCACATAAACCTAAATCTATATACATACACACACACATATAGGGTGCGGTTCCGGTGAGAATAGATTCACAGGAGAGAAATGAGAACACATCTCATACCTTAATCTTAATTTTTTAACGGCAAGAAGTACTTGATGCACGATTATTATGGTGCACTTGATTATATGATATAACTTCCGTGAAAGTTGAATGCACGTGCATGTGTCCAATAGAGGAGGGCATATTAGTAACTCTAAATTAATTACGTTTTATACGAATCTCTACATTTTAGCACCTTCCCATTATGTAACCGCCCACTTCTAAATCCCTAAACTTTCGTGCCAGTCATAAATAATATTGTTGGCTGCAGCGTCCTTGTAAAATTATGACACTGCCATTATTAATCATTTACTTAATTCGTATTTTTATTAATATACATATGTGCAGTTCTTTTTGTATAAGCATGCAATTTGTTCATAATGAAAGTGCACAAGGAAATAAACTATAAAGTGTGCATCGTTCATATATAATATGTCATCGTTCATTTAGTTAGGTCAGACCAATTATTCTTTAAATTTAAAAATACAAATTAAAAGTGCATCTTTAGGCAAGGAGGTACATATATATATTTTTATGTGTACTATAAATAGTGATAAACATTTATATGCACTTCACCAAAATACTTGATGCACTTTTATGTTTTGGTTGTTCACTTTTGACTTACATTAGTGGTTATGTAAATATAACTAAATGTGATATTTGTTCAACTAGAAGTGAGCATATATTGTAATTAAGTGCAGAAATGCACATTTGTGTTATCCTAAATGCACTTTTAGGAATCAATAATGCAAGGCCCATGAATAATTCAATAAAGTGCAATATGCATGAGCATAAGTGCATCAAATAACATTAACATGTACTTGTGTGAATTGCACTTCTTATTTCATTAACATGCTCTTGATATCTCATTAATATGCACTTTTTTCAACTTGTTATTTAGCAAACAAGCTCATACATTTGTGCACAATTATTATACAATCATGAAAGATGCATTGCGCACACATACGAAATCCTGAATTGAAATAATAATAATAATAATAATAATAATAATAATAATAATAATAATAATAATAATAATAATAATAATAATAATAATAATAATAATAATAATAATAATAATAATAATAATAATAATAATAATAATAATAATAATAATAATAATAATAATAATATCTCTAATTGTTTACATGGAATTACGAAAAATAAAATGTACAAAAGTGAAAAATATAGAAACATACAAGCTTGTGCACAAAAACATCATAAAAGTGCAATAATGAAATATTAATGGTGCATTGAAAAGATATTGAAAAACATTGTCCCTATTTTATATTTGCAATTTGAACTTCGAATGTAATTCTCCAAATTCAATAAAATCATAAATAAAAGACAAATACTTCGTATTACTTTTGCAAACATCAAATTCTTAAGAATACTTTATACATATTTTACATATTTATGACAAGATCTGTAATTAAGATCAGTATGGTTTCAAAAGGTTGTGATCGGAGTCGGTGTCTTTCTTCTCCTCTCCTATGTTGCAGAGGTCGTAGTGTGGGTCGAGTAAGGTGAACAAGGTGGCGGGGATGCAGTCCAAGAAAAAACAATGGTAAAAATAAATAAAGATGATAAATAGACCGTGTAGATTTAGCAAGGATTGTACGTGATACTTATGGAATGAATCGGTGTGCTAGAATGGTAAGATAAAACATTCCTGATTTGCCCTTAATGAAGAACGCGCGAGAATTCAGAAACAATCAAAATCCAAGCGTTGAAATCTATTCTTATTTCTCTCGTTAGATGGTATTCTCATTTGATCCCAACTCGGTTAAGATCGGATACAAAGTATGCTTCCCATACAAAATGCAAAATCATCTCATCCGTTGAATCTTACTTAATCAAGGGTAAGGTTTTTTTTGGCACTAACACACAACCGTATTAGTGGGATAACTATTTATCCTTTAACCACAACTTTCGGCCAAGCAGTTAGTAGAACAATTATAGCATCCTCACTGTTATCTAAGTAATAGGAATGGCTAGGATTAATTTGCACTTTGTAAATTAGGATTACTTTGTATGTGATCCTAAATCTATATATATATATATATATATATATATATATTAAATGTAGCGGGCCAGTCTTATCGGCCCGAACTGGCCTACACCCTAACCCAAGCCCGCCCATTTGTTATTGCGGGCCGGGCTCGGGCCGGCCCGGTGGGTAAATATATATGCCCAAGCCCGCCCATTCGTGCGGGCCAGTTGGGCGGGCCGGGCGGGCCCGGTTTTGTGCAGGTCTAGTTTGGAGGATGGGGGTAGGGGTTGAAATAAATAAGAAAACATAAAATAAAAAAAATCGAACCAGACCCGGCCTGGCCCCGAAGGTTACCTGGGCAGGTCTCGGGCCTTCCTCACAACCCAAAAGCCCGGCCAGACCTAGGCCGACCTGGTCCCAGACCCGAGTCCATGCCTAATTTTATGTGGATTAATAATTTTTTAATCAATTGGTAACGAAAGAGTTAATTTATTCAATTGTAATTTATTTCAAAATGTAATTAGTTAATTAAAGGAAGTTTAAATGTAACTTGAACATACAAAGATGTAACTCGCGTATAAGAAGATGTAACTCCATATATTATTAGAAATAACTTCATCGAGCAAGGCCATTACACAGCACGGTCGGTGATCCTTCTCTGTCGTAGGGGTGTTTGAGCGTAGGCCGTATGCTGGGGTCTAGGCAATCGACGATTGCTTCTACTATTCTACAGTGAAGGCCAAGTGGACAGATCCGACGCTAACAGATTCCTTCGAAGACAAATTGAAGCTAGCAACACCAATTGGCAGAGGGGTCTATGACTTTCCGTGTTTCCAAAGGTCACCGTGGATCTGTGGTGGATAGGGTTGGAAGGACTAATAGCCATACACTTGTTTTGGTAAATTTGGCTTTCTTGATGTTTGGATGAATGCTACACCATTTGTGTTTGATCCGGGTGGAACACCGGCGGTTTGCCGTTTTATGGAAGGGGAGAAATTAAATTCCAATAAGGTGGTTGAGGGATTGGCACGCGTGATCTGGTCGCCTCAGGTGGTGGAGGAAGAAGATGACATGAGGAAGCTTCGTCCCCGTCCTGAACTGCCGCCATGGAGGAGTTGCGCGAGTAGGGTTTGTAAGAATGTTTTATTAATTATTACTCGTTATTTTCAGTCCAATGATTTTTTTCCCTTTTTTTTGTGTTTTGTTGTCAGTTTCATACTTGAAGTCGTCATTCCTTGTTTAGGTAAGGGTACGGGGAGTTCAGCTAAGTATTATGCTGTTGGATGTTTGGGGATATTCTTGGTTAGTTATAACTGGTTTAAACCCGATACACGTCTAGCGATTCGTGTTGCTCCTTCATGGGTGACCGTTTCTATGTCTATTCGTAAGGTTGACTTTCGTTGTGGGTGGAGGATTGTTGTTGTTAGTGGTCTTTATGTGTTTGATTTAACGATCCTATTTCTAATGATATTAATATAAGGCGAGTTTTCTTGTAAAAAAAACTACGAGTACATTTTTTTCATAAAATGAACAATAGTGATATTATTACTCCAAGTTAAACCTTTTTCTCTAGTAATACGTAGTACTTAAGAAGATATATTAAAATATACCTTTTTCTATTCGTAAGGTTGACATTCGTTGTGGGTGGAGGATTGTTGTTGTTAGTGGTCTTTATGTGTTTGATTTAACGATCCTGTTTCTAATGATATTAATATAAGGCGGGTTTTCCTGTCAAAAAAAAAATACATTTTTTTTCTTAAAATGAACAATAGTGATATTATTACTCCAAGTTATACCTTTTTCTCTAGTACTACTTAAGAAGATATCAAAATAGACCTTTTTCTATCAAATTTCTCATGAGAAAAATGTTATCAACAACCGTTACTTCCAATATCTTCATCTTTATGAATATTAAAATAGTTTATAAAGATTGTTATTTATTATCACTTTTGCTACTTCAAATGTTCCAGATTGTAGATTGTGCTATACTGCTATATATTTTGTATTAATCTGAATAAATAAATAAATAAAAACAGTCTGAAGATCATCTTACTACAAAAATACATAAATTCAAAGAACATATTTATTTGTACTCCATCTTAAGTATTGTACACTAGAGCGATGCTGAGTTTTTCAAACCATGTGTTTTATGGATTGCCTCTGAGACATTTCTTTACATATTCAATTTTATCTATATTCCGTGCAACATACCATTGACTAGTATATGTGCAAATATACCATTCTAGTATATATCGATGTGCATATATACCTCTGAAAATCTAAAAGGCACAAAAATACCTCTAAAATTCCTATAAAGCATCAAATTTACTCTGACTTTAAATAAATAAAATATATTATGGAAGTGTTAGTAAGTGTCGATACTAACACTATTTGTTTGGGAGAAAAATTGAGAGGTGTTAAGAAATGTTAACACTTGTAATGGGAAGGTTCTTCAATTCCTAACTTTTACTAACACTTCCATTACTAACACTCTCTAACACTCAATCCAAAAGGTCATATTAATGTTGAATCGATCTTCCCAGCGTATTCAGATGTTTGTCACTAATTTAGAACCAAAAATTTAGAACTAAAAATTCTTTTTCTTACTGCTACGGAGAACTAAAGAAAACTCAATCTTAAAACTTGGAACCCTTTTGATTTTTAAACACATGTTCCTAATTTATGAGGAGCAAGGAACCCATGCTAAAACCAAACAAATTTAGATCCTCAAATATGAATTACTAAGCATCGTATAGCCACTCCTTCTTCCATACTCTTAAGCTCAGTTTAGAATAGTATTTCTGTTAACAATTACAGGGTGGAACGGGCCTAGCCTCCATCGGCTAGGGCAAAGTTTTGGCAGCGTAACCTTTACGCAGATTTCCACGGCCGACGACGCCTCACTTCGGCAAATGGCAGACGGAATTCGCAAGGGAGCAGTAGGTATTCCCCAAGGCTCGTGTAACAACACTTTCGACGATCGTATTCGTTTTCGAATTGAAGCAAACGGCATGGAGGGTGGGGACAACAATGGCGTGGAAGCTTTGGCAAAAGCCTACGATGAGATGCTAGACTTGGAGGAAGAGGACGAGGTGCTAGTCGTTGCACCTATGGCACAGAATTCAGCGAAGCATAATCTGACCCTAGTGGGGACCATTACATCAGAAAAGTCGGTACGTTTCTCTCAGTTTAGAGATATTATGGCATCTGTGTGGAAACCCGAATATGGTGTTACTATAACTGAAATAAGCTCTAGACGATATGTGTTTCAGTTCTATAATGAGGAGGATGTCATTAGGGTTACCGATGAGGGACCGTGGCTTTTTGACCAAAACTTGATTGTTATGAGTAGGCTTAAGGAGGGTGATATTCCCCTGTCTGTTCCACTAAATAAAGCTGAGTTTTGGATCCAAGTTCATGATATCCCAGTGGGATACTTCACTATTGAGAATGCGGAACGTATTGGGAATTTTTTGGGGACTTTTATAAAAGCTGATGAAAATAATTTCTCTGAGAATTGGGAATCTTTTATGCGAATTCGTGTTTGTATTGACCTGGGGAAACCATTGAAAAGGAAATTAGTCTTGCAAAAAGAAGGAGTTAATTTTCGTGTCAGATTTTGCTACGAGAAACTGCCTAGTTTCTGCTTTTTGTGTGGAGTTATAGGACATGCTGAAAGCCATTGTCCGCATATGCGAAGGAGCCAAGAAGTAACCGGCGAAAGGCCATTTGGGCCGTGGCTTAGAGCTATAAAAGGGGCTAAGCAGTGGAAGGAGAATAAATGGCTCGTTCCAGCTGGGAAAGGTTCCAATTCTGATAACAAAGCCAGGAGTGTAAATAGCGAGGAGGGCGCGCGACCAGGTATGATGAATGGTGGGCTCTCATCACAAGAGAGAGGGTATATTGAGCAGAAACGCAGGTGTGTGGAGGCTTCAGGAGACTACCAGCTAGGTGACGAGATGGAGCTAGAGCATGCTGGGGGAAAAAACGGGGAGGAGGCGAGCTACGAACCTGTAGCTCGCCAGGCACAACACTGAGAAGCATCGGTCGACCGCTTTGGGAATTGAATAAGGCAGAGAGCCATGAAGACTTTATTTATGTTTGCTTTTTTCCTTTTATCTTTCTCACTTTGTTTTTCTCGTTATTCTGAACTCTAGTGGTAGGTTGGTTTTGATTTTTTCTTGTTTGGTTTGGGAGGTTAGTTTTGGTGGAAGCGATAAGGCTTGTTTGGCCGTTAAAAGCTTCGAAACTCTCACATGGTTCGCGAATAGTCTCGCTCCTTCTGGGGTGGTCTATTCTAAGTCTAGCCAGAGAGTGGGGGGGCCTTTGGTCTATGCGGAGCCTCATGAGGAGGTTTGGCGTTACAAGGGGGAAATATGGTTAAAGTTTTGATTGAGGAGAATTGGCATTGTAAGGGGGGGAGTACGTGGAAAAGTTTGCTTAATATAATATAATCAGTTTCCTTTCAAAAAAAAAGCATCGTATAGCCAAAGCCCCAAACTAAACTTGACCAACATCAATTGATATCCACTATATTGAGCGAGAAGAATCTAGCAGTAGAGAGCCGCCGAAGTAAAAGCAAAACAAGGAATAATTGATCTTGAAACTTAAAATTTCAAACCATTTCAAATATGATAATAAAGCAGTATTTGCATTTGCTTAAAATAAGTGCTTCTAAGTTTCTAGCTTAAAAAAAGCAGAAAATAGTGTTTGCAAATCTCCACTTCTACTTAAAAAAAAACACTTTAAATCCAAAAGTTGGAAGCTGGAGTTGGGTAGCTTTTAACTGCTTATTGGTTATTTTGTAATTAATTCAAACATCAGGGAGGGTTATAGTGGAATGTGTATTTAGCTTGGACCAAAGATACCCCTCATCTCCTCTCTCGTCAATACTCCTTCCGCACCAAAGACTCCATGTCTCTCTTTCAAGCTTCATCTGGTCATTCAGTATAAATATAAGGGAAAAGGGGCAAATAAGCCCTCGAATTTGGGGAGGTTCCCAGTGGAATTTTTTGATGAAATTTTTTGAACATCTTATTCATTAAGTCTAGTTTACTCATATCGAATTTCAGCTAAAAATTCAATCGGGAAGACAATCAAATGAATTTTTGAAGATAACTACGTAGTAAAACAACATAGTATATTTCGGAAAAACATTTGAGCATCTTATGACCAAATTAGACTTAATGAAGAAAATGCTCAAAAAATTTCATCAAAAAACTCCATCGGGAACCTCCCCAAATAACGGCGACCGGACAGAACCTCCTACAAAAGGGCTTATTTGCACTTTTTTATTAGTTTGAGGGCTTATTTGCCCCTTTTCCCTAAATATAAATATACGGAGTGTGTGTGTGTGTGTGTGTGTGTGTGTGTGTGTGTGTGTGTGTGTGTGTGTGTGTGTGTGTGTGTGTGTATATAGGGGTGAGATCACATACTAATTAGTCCTCCCATGCTAACCTACAAACCATCATAAACGGTGCATCCTTACATTATTTGTACTGCATATTGAAGTTCACAGTGTTGCATCTTATTTGTACTGCATATTAAAGTTCAAAGTGTTGCATATTATTTGTATTGCGTATTGAAATTCACAGTGTGCATCTTTACATTATTTGTATTGCATATTAAAGTTCAAAGTGTTGCATATTATTGAGTTTGTAGGTTAGTATTTTAAGCATAATTTGTACTAGATCTCTTATCTATACACACACACACACACATATATATATATATCTGTGTGTGTGTGTGTGTGTGTGTGTGTGTGTGTGTATGGGGTAATTTGAGTTTGTATCCCACATTATTGTTCAAATTGGACTTTGCACCCCATTTTTAAAAAACTTTGTTTTGCACCCCAATGCCATATGAAAAGACAAAAATGTCCTCGATAAAAAATATGTTGAAGGCCAACATATTTGTTAATGGAGGGCATTTTTGTCTTTTCACATGAGATTGGGGTGCAACAATAAAGATTTTTAGAAACGGGGTGCAAAGTCCAATTTGAACAATAAAATGGGGTGCAAACTCAAATTATCCTTATATATATATATACTTATTTTATTAGATTAGATTAGATAACAAGAAGCACAAGAGAAGGAATACACGAGGATGGCACTAAATGAAGCAGTCGTGAACAGGACCACCGGCCGCCGCCACAGGTAGTGCTGGACTCGGGCCGGGCGGCCCGACCCGGAACCGGCCCGGCCCGGTCAATGTTTGGCCCGGCCCGGCCCGTGGCCCGGTGGGTCCGGCGGTTCGGTCTGGCCCGGCCCGGCTGCTGGGCGGTCCGGGCTCGGGCCCCTGTTTTGGTGAACCGGCCCGGCCGGTTCGGGCCCGGTCTGGGCCGGAAAATATTTTTTTATTTTTGAATTTTTTTTAACTTTTAGGTTGGAATAGGTGTTTTGGGCCATTTGAGGTGGTTTGGGATGGTTTGGGGTTGAGGGGGAGGGGTAGGGGATTAAATAGGAGTAGGAAAAAAAATTTGGACCGGGTGGCCCGGCCCGGTTTGGCCCGGAACCGGCCAACCCCGGTTCGGGCCCGGGCCCTCTATTTGGTGAACCGGGGCCCGGCCGGTTCAAGGCCCGAACCGGGCTCGGCCCGGCCCGAGGCCACCCCTAGCCATAGGATGACTTCGAGATCTTTTGGGCAGACCGTCGGCATCATAGATGGCTTCAAAATCGAACTCGTCATGCTCGAGGAAGGAATTGAACATCCAATTTTGATCAAGAGAGGAAGGAATTGTAGAAACCAAATTCAATGGTGGAAGCAATTGTAGGAAGCCAGAGGAGAAATTCTAATCTTTTATTTTGATTGAAGGAAGCAATTGCAGGGCAGCGAGAGAGATACTCCACTTCTAAATGGAACGGACAGATGCGTAAAGACTAAAGTTGGGCAAAGGAGAGATGCTCAAAATGTTTTATAATGAAGGGCATTTTTGTAGTTTAACAATATATATCATTTAAAATCACTTTTTTATCAAACACTTAGTGATGGACCCGGGCCGGGTCGGGCCCGGGCCGGGTCAAGGCCCGGTCGGGCCTCGGGTCCTATAACGGTAGGCCCGGGACCGGCCCGGTCAATGACCGGTTCCGGTTCGGGCCGGGCCACGGTTCGGGCCACCCGCCGGGCCGGGCCGGGCCAGTACAATTTTTTTTTATTAATTATATATTATACAAATTGCTATTAAAAACAAAGTTCAAGTGCATTTATTTGAAATAAGAACTACATTTGAGAATTGATAAAAAAAATAACAATACGAAATACATTTTGTAATGAATATCAATTGGGATTTCCGCCACCGTTGGTTGTTGTTTTCCCTTTGTCACAGGACTTCATATGTTTTATTGGCATCCCGTATCCGTATGAACGCCCCAAGCAACAGTCTTTCTTGCACCACCTGCAAGTTGCCCACCACAGTCCGGTCTTCGGGTCCTTCCACTTGTCAAAATTGTTTTGCATAAGGGAAGATGTACTTTCCATATTTAAAATGGTATATGTATAAGTAGGAATGTAGGATAATAAGAGAAGATGAAGATGGAGAAGCGTTAGGAATTAATGTGTGTCTCTACAATTAAAATTATAGCAACTTTTGAAGTAAATAACTAGTACAAGTAAAAATGTAACAACAATGCTAATTAAGTAGTTAACTAGTATAGTGACAAATGTAACAAACTAACAACTAGTTAAATAAAATGTGAAGTATTTTAATTAGTATAATGAAAAATGTAACAAGAATGGTAATGAACTAATTAACTAGTATAATGAAAAATGTAACAAGAATGCTAATTAACTAATTAACTAGTATAATGAAAAATATTACAATAATGGTAATGAACTAATTAACTAGTATAATGAAAAATGTAACAAGAATGCTAATTAACTAATTAACTAGTATAATACTAGTTATAGTAAGTAATATATAATATAATGTTTATATTATATAATATATAAGTATACTACTATAAGATGAGTAATACACTTATATTTTATACTTTAATATATAAAATATATATTAAGTAGATGTAGAATGTATGTATTAAGTGGATATAATAATTGTATAAGAATTAAATATTAGAGTATAATGGAGAATTGGAGATTGGAAAATAAGTATATATAAAATATAAGTAGAGAAGTAGATATTATTATGTATTAAGTATATAGTAATAGTTTATAAAGTATATTTAATACTTTATTATATAAAGTATATATTAAGTAGATATAGTATGTATGTATGTATTAAGAGATATAAGTAGAGATTAAGTAGATAAGAAATATAAGTAATATAGTATATGTAGATAATAATATATAAGTAGATAATTAATATATAAGTAGATATAATAATTGTATAAGTATTAAATAGTAAAATAAAATATAAAGGAGAATAAGAGAATTTGAGAAGATGAATATGGAGAATTGGAGATGAGTAGAGAGTAGGATTTAGGTAGAGTTGGAGAAGAGGTGTGAAAAAATGTTTAAAATTAGGAGTATTTATAGGTTTTTTTTTAACCCCCACTCCCCACCCCCCACCCCACCCCCCACCCAAAGCCCCCTGACCCCCCCCCTGGTACCACCCAACGGCTATATAGCCGTTTGGGGTGGCCGTTGAGCCAAAAGAAGCAAAAAAATTTTTTTTTTTTTTAAAATTTTGGACCGTTAGGCCCGGGCCCGACCCGGCCGGGCCGGGCCTCCAAAACCAGGACCCGAGCCCGGTCCCGCTAACCCGACCGGGTCTCTGCCCGAACCGGACCCGGACCCGAGAACCGGGCCGGTTCCGGGCCCGCACAGTGGCGGGCCGGTCCCGCACAGTGGCGGGCCGGTCCCGGGCCGGGCGGCCCGAACCGGGTCCACGCCTACAAACACTCCAACTTTAACTTTTTCACCTTAATCACTTCTATTTTCAAACATTCTCAACTTTTACTTTTAAACAATTTCCCTAAAATCACTTAAAAACCGTTTTTTAAAAAGTTGAAACAATCGCAAACACTCCTTAAGAATGTTTTCTTTTGGACTGAAATTTGCTGATCTGGTCTAGTAAACGTCTGGTATCTGTGTATTTTATAACTACAAAAGTCTTGTCTAGTCTAAGACGGAAAACAGTTCAAAAGAAAACATCCTAAGTCTACATTGCGAAGTTGACAAGTTGTAGATATCCATGTGTATTACTTTACTTGTCCTCCAAAGGGAAGGTACCGTACCCTCTATTAGAGGCCGGGTTGAACTTCCCCCCAGATTGTATGTAGGGAGAACACTTTAAACGAAACAGAAGTAAGCAATTAGCAACCAAAAGAGAAACGAAGCAGTCCGTAAGAAAGAAGCAAGGTAGAATAGAACAAGCATTGATTGAGAACACTACAAGCATGTAAATAGAGAATACTACAAGCATGTAAATAGAGAATACTACAAGCATGTAAATAGAGAACACTACAAGCATGTAAATAGAAAATACTACAAGCATGTAAATAGAGAACACTACAAGCATGTAAATAGAGAATACTACAAGCAAGGTAAATAGAGAATACTACAAGCAAGGTCCATGATCATCAAAAGGGAAAGACGAGTTATGCCACTTATTCACACATGGGTAGCACAAAGGCACAAATAATGCCATTTCTTATTTCCGCCGCTTTGGTGTCCTGATTTTCTCCATGGTTCTCTGCAAAATCTCAACGGCAGATGGGCGGAGCTCGGAGTCACCATGAGCAAAGACACACGTTTCTGCATTCTTGCAAAACCCCTTCGTAGCATAATTCTTACAAATCTTTGTTTTGTACTCTACCACGGGTGGGATTTTACCGCCTGCTGAGATTAAAAAATAATTTTTCAATAAAGCATCCACTAGCTCCATTGCATCGGAAACACATTTAATCGAACCGGACAAGATGATTTTCTTGAAAGAAGGATCTTCTTCGTTATCTTCAACAACTATCTTGACCCCGGTTAGGTTGCAGATCCACTGAAGTAACTCCCTTTTTTCTCCAAAAATAACTCCGAGTTGGTCTGGACGAATATATGGGTATGCCATGATTGTGTAGAGAGTGAATCTTAAAGGATGAAGTGGGCTCTTAATATGGGAGCTGTAAATAGGGCGGAACACTTGAGCGTTGTCCTTGAGTGGAATGTAAAATGGTTCATTATATTCACAGTCTCCATGTGCAAAGGAGCACTTTTCACCATTTCGGCATCCACTTGCACTGAAATAGTGTTGACAGGGCAGGGTCTTTTTTGTAGGTTGCATAACTAAACCTGCATTCAAACATTCTCGAAGAAAAAATACTTATCAGCAATGCTTGGTGTACACTTTATTTACACATCTAAAAAGGAATCAATTTCTCTGAAAATTGCTTAGTGTGGACATGCAAACCAATTTAGTTAACATAGATTAGTTGTCAATGAGCAATTTACAGATTATTTTACAATATATCTTTATAGAAAATAGATGTACATGATATAATTTTGTTGATAACTAATGTCTACTTGACGAATTACACTTGGTGTATTCAAAAAGTAACAAGTTCCTTTTCCATTTATATATACATATGTGTTACTGGGCACTAGAAGCTTTTGTACAAGATGACAAGATGTTATCACAGGCCTTCGAGCGAGTGGAAGAGTAGATTGAGCTTTAGAAGGTTGGCTATGTTTAGTGTTTGGGGAGAAAACTAGGAAGAATATAGTTAAGCAAATTTTTAACACAATAAGTTGGAATTTTTATTGGAAATTCCACAAACCCCCTTAGACTTTTCTTGCTGAAAACTTGCATACTCTTCCCTCTATTAAATGGCCCTTAAATAGTCTTTAAAGAGTTAGGGAGATAAGGTAAAGAAAGCAACTAAAGAAAAAGAAACAACAATTCAAGTATTACAAAAAAAATATCATATAAGATGCCCAAAATATCTCAAATCCTGATGGTGACATGCCTAGAAAGCAATATAGGGGGTGTTTGGAACTGATTCTGCTTCTGCTTCTTTTTTAAACCAAGAGCAGAATCAGAATCAGTTTTCAGAAGCTGGTCACCCCCAACTTAAAAAAAAAACTGATTCTAGGAGTAAATTTCAGTTCCAGAATCACTTTTGCACTTTCACCCAAACACTCCATCTTCTGCTTCTGCTCCCTGAAGGAGCGGAATCAGTTTTAAGAATCAGATCCAAACACCCCCATATATTATCTCAAGAGATTCTGAAACCCCTGATTTTTTGTGAACCAGATTTATCTGATTCCCAATTGGTGAGAACCCTAGGCGTAGTTTATTGGTTTTTGCTTTTGTTTTGTGGCTCTCTATGAACACATCAATATGCTAGTAAAACATTCAAACAGCAGCACTGCGTTGATTTAAGCAAAGAGAGACAAGTCGAAAAAACAAATGTAAAGAGAAATCATTTATCAGCAATTGAAATATTGCTTATAAATAGCAAACACCTGGTTTGGGCTGCTCGATCAATGAGGATCCCACATCACTGTCCACTGAAGGCTCAAAAGTGAATCTCTTATAGGCAAACACTAAACGGAGAGACATGATAAGCATACAGAGAAAACATACATCAGCAATTAACGTATTCGTTATATATAGGCACTACCTGAAGTGGGCTTCTCGATCTTTGAGACCCCTGCCGCACTGTCCACTGAAGGATCTGGAATGAGACATGATTATGATTCACATAAAGGGGAAACATGTATCAGCAATTGAAATATTGCTTATAAATAGCCAAAACCTGGTTTGGGCTGATCCACCGTTGAGAATCCTTCGTGATTGTCCATTCGAGGCTCTGAAAATAATATAGATTCATTCATACACGGGAAGACCCTAAACGCAGAGATAAGATAAACAGAGATCACGTTTCAGCAAATGTTGCTTATAATAAATACGGAGTAGCGAAACCAACATCCTCACATCCTCTTCCGTCAACTCACACCATCATCCAAAGGAAGAAACATAAAAACACATCGTCCGTACAAGACACAAACACGAAATCCCAAAACAAACACGAAATCAAAACAGCAGTACAGAAAAGGAATGAATCTCGCCTGATAATCTGGATCCGTCCAAGGCCACTAATAAAGAAAATAGCGCCCGAGTTCGACAACCGCCGGAACTGAAGAAACGAATACTTCGTAGATTCAGACGCTCTGCATAAAGACTAAAAGACCGCCGAAGACGAGCTTGACAGCAGTCCAAAAATCAAACAAGGGCGGACCATCGGCCTTCAGAGATGCGGTTGACTGTCAAAGGCTAACGGCAATGAAGTGTTGAGAGGTGTTAGTAATGGAAGTGTTAGTAAGTGTTAGTAAGGGTCCGGAAAGGATGGTAAGTGCAAGTGTTAAACATAAACTTACTTTGTTTGGGAGAGTTAAAAAGATGAAGGGTTAATAACGGAAGTGTTTTCGCTTAAATTTACAATAATGTCCTTAATCTTTTTTAAACTACATAGTACCCAAAATATTCCAAGAAATTTGATTGTTCCCTCGAGGAGCACTAACTGTCTAACTATGGTATACGAAGCATATATATATGTAATACAATTATATATATTTTCCCTTATGAATAAGAATGCAGCGATAGAAGTTGATAGGATCAGTCGGTGCAAAAAAATTAGGTATTTATAAGTTGATAGAAGTTGATTTCTCTTCTGCAAAAAATCATCATAGTTCATCCCGGTTGAGTATAAAATTAAGATTTAGAAAGAATTTACATAAATCACTGCTGTATATATAAATATATATACGGAGTATGATATTTACAGAAATTGGTTAGATTGATAATTCATTGATTTCATTCGGATTCCTCCTCGCCTAAGCTCTCCTCTAAAAATAAAAGAATCAAACTTACAAAACAACGAAGAAAACCAGTGGTTGACAATTATGTAAGCAACACAATACACTGGACAAAAAACGGAAGTTGCGGATGCAGGTAGAACGGCAACGACTAACGAGGGTAAGATATGTCCAACACTTGAATACGTTAAAAAACTCAGCCATTGAGGTGTTAGGAAGATTTCGTGCATGTCTCCCAACACCTTTGAACACTTACTAACACTCCATTTTTTTAAGAATTCCTCTCCCAAACAAGGGTTAAGACCAACACCCTTCAACACTTCCATTACTAACACTCCTAAACACTCAATCCAAACAGGCCATAAAGCTACTTCCGCCCTCTCTAAAAGACTAAAACGGAGCGTGCAGGGGTGGTTCGGTACGGTATACCTTATATTTTTTCTCATACATTTGCCGTACCAAAAGTTTCGGTATGCAAAATTTGCATACCTTTACCTTACCGAAGTTTCGGTATACCGCATTTCGGTATACCGAAATTTCGGTTCGGTAACGATACGGTATCGGTAAATTACCGTGCATGTCTCCCAATACAAAAAATTTGGGTAGACTAAAGAAATATACTAAATCGTTATTACTAGCGACATATTAAATCTATTATTAAAGTGTTACGAAGTACAATTAATAATCTATTGATGTCAATTCAATATAAAACAATAATTATTATTATTAGTATATTTAAGCAGTTCAACATGCCACATATTAAAAAGTAACACATTCTCCTAAAACAACTTGAACAGTATGGATATAATTAAATCAATAGTGATCTCTAACAAGAATAAATAAAACTATTCAAACAACATGGATATAAAATCATTTATTCCTAATATGATATTGTGTATTTAGTCATTTTTATAATTTTTTAAAAATTGAATAAGACTTTCGGATAAAGTTGTGTGTCTCGACTCGCGGAATCCCTATGTAGATACACTTATCACATAAGTGTATCTCTCTTCACTCGTCAGCTACTTAGCGGCCCAGCCATCACGACTTGCAAGCTCTTGGAACAAGATGAACTTGTTTCTTGACATTTGTACATTACTCATTAGTCATTAAGGTTAGCGTAGTAGAAGCCTATAAGGTTATAGTGGGTTTGAGAAATTGGGCCTTTATTTTTGTATTTGTAACCAACTTAAGTATTAATTTTGGGCTTCAAAATTGTAATGGATTTTTACAATATATTAGAATTAAAAGTAATTGTTGAGTAGGGAGTCGGTACGGTATTATACCGGTATACCGCGGTATTCGAAAACATTTACCGTTACCGTACCGAAATAGATCGGTACGGTATGATACCGTACCTAAAATGACGGTATACCAATATTTCGGTATTTTCCGGTATTTTTCGGTATGGTAAGTGCGATATATCGATTTTTCGGTATTTCTGCCCACCCCTAATTAGATCGATACTCTTTGATTGTTTTCCTACTCCTTTTTCTTTCTTTCACGTTTTGGGAAAGAAACTAAATACGGCTTGTTTGGTTATTTTTGTTGCATTTGAACTATAGCTGATTGTTAGGCTGAAGTTCGTGATTTGTATGGAAAATAGAAGCCTCCAAAACTTTTATAGGTTGAAGTTCCTGAAAAAGAGGTAATCGGCTCAATTTTTTTTTTAAACTTTTAGAAGTCTCTAGATTAATTGACTGAGCTTAAAATTTATATGAAATTAATCTATCTGAAAAAATTAATTATTTGACTGAGCTTAAAAGTTAGACATTTTATGTTTATTTTTTGAAAAGCTTAAAATTCGAGAAACAAATTCATAATAATATGTTTAATTATGTTTATTTTTTCAGTCCAAAACCACACTAGATCAAACTTCCGTAGTTATAAAATACATAGAGACTAGACGTTTATCATACTAGACCAGTTCAAACAAGACCAGATCAGTTTAGACCAGATCAGATCAGACCAATAAATTTCAGTCCAAAAAAAATGTCCTTAAACTATTTTGGGTGGTCATCCTATTAAAGCATTTTTATTTCAATTTACATATTATTAAATTGTACTCCCTCCGTCCCATATATATTGTCCCGTTTTACCTTTTCGGGAAATCCTACTTAAATTGTCTCATACCATATTTGGCAAAGTTTGCGTGGTTCTAAATCATTCTTACTTTATTCTTACTTTATCAATTAATTTCAACCACACAAATCCACTTTTCTTAATAACCGTGTCACCCTCTTCCGAGACAATATAAATGAGACGGAGGTAGTATGTGCGCTTTCATGAAAAAAACATTGAATTCTCTTATCTTATTTTTTAAAAAATGTAATTTTTTTTTGGCGATGAAAAAAAAAATGTTTTGAAAATGGAAAAATTCTTTGCCACAGTCATATGTGTAACACTCCCTTATCTTCAGTAGGTCGTATTTGAATATATTTCGTTTTATGTCCAAAAAAATATTGTAAGGGTGTTATTCAAAACGGTCCAATAAAAATTGCAACCATAAAATTTATGTGACATAATTTTTTTAACGGGTCTAAATAATTCTAAACGATTAAAAAAATTACACAAAATTTCACTGAAATTAATTAAACCTGTGAAATATTTTAACCAACCGTGCATCACACGTCTACGTCTGTTCTACACATTTCATTTAAAGTGAATCTCTTTCAAGGGTACATGCAGTTATGTACATACCTTTAGGAGGGAAATCACCAATAATGCATTACACGGGGTTTCTACCATTTCATCCAAACTGAAATTGGGTTTTCTACACATTTCATCTTACAAGGGTACATGTGTTGTGTAGCTGCGAGCATGTTTTAAGAAAAAAATCATAAATCGTGCATCGCACGGGTGAGATACTAGTTAACTCTAAGAAAAGGGTCCGTCAATGGGTTTGGTTTAGACTCAATCTACCTTTTTAATTTGGTATGAGTGTTTAATTCCGTTTACCCAGACGGCCAGACCCAATTTCAAACTCATTATTTATTTTGCCAAATGGATCGAGTATGGTTCATAATATTCCGACCCGTTATTCATAAAATACATACATATTATAATCATGTACTTACAATACATGTGTTTACATTACATTTTTTGAGCCTGTTTATAATTAATGATGTAAAATAAACACTTTGAGTGCAAAGTGCAGGAGTGTAAACATTTTACGCTGTGATAGTACCATGGACTACAACCATGGCCCAAATACGAAATTATATTCAAAGCCCATAGATGGAAATCTTGTCACCCGCTACATTGAGATAGAGAAACTTTATCAGTCATCTAAATGTCCAGAAGAAATGAATAAAAGGGACGCGACAAGAACCAGATCAGGCATAAGTCGGCCTGATTGGTATGTAAGGATCACAATCTCAACCTCACCTACATAGTGCTCCATTAAAAATGGAGCCCCATTGGTGATCATCTTGGTGGCCTCAGCATTCCTCTTTGTCAAGAATGGCATCACCCATTTCCGAATCAATTCGATCTCCCCACTTGTTTGGGAACTGGAGTTTCCCATCCACAGGGGTAACCCAGACCCATTTTTACCTCTACCCCTTGAAGGAATCAGATTAGGATTTGGCTTCGAACAGGCGGTGACCCGCCCGCTGCGAGACGGACAGATAACCCGGGAATTCAGAACCACCGTGCCTCACATAATGAAAAAAGTGGAGCAAGAGATCGATAGAGGCGTGAATTCCTAAATGCATACATCGGGCAATAAACCCAGCGATGAACATATGAGTGTTTAGGGAAAATTGACCTGGGATTACCCCAAGAAACCCATGACCAGGGAGGCACACTGTGCCTGTAGTGTTACGATGTACCTGGTCGCTGGAATTGCCAGGCACGCCGTGCCTGGGCCTTAGGTGTGAGAGAATGGAACAGGTTTTTTCTTCATAGTATTTAGTAAATGTTTTAATTCCATAGACCTGGCTATACTGGCTGACATGAAACGTGACTCCAACCGTTCCCAAATCCCAAAGGAATGTTTTAAATCATGCACATCAATAAGTACATCACGGGATAAAGTAGCAAATAACCATGAACGAATAGTTTGATCTATCTGTAACCATGATGAGTACTCGGGATTCGGGATTTGACGGTTAAAAGGATCTATGGAATAGACTGAAGGTACCTCAATTGAACCATCAACCATCCCAAGGAGGCCTTGTGAAACGAGGAATGACTCGAACTGAGTACGCCACGTGACATAATCTTCAATGGCCTGCAGTTTGGTAGTGACAATGTTCGTGACATTGGTGGCCACGTGGGAGAGGGACTGGACCAAGTCAGCCATAGGAGAGTTGGACAGATGTGCAGGGCCAGGTCGTGTGGCTGTTACTGAAGATGAGATGCCCGGTGAGCCAACAAAGGTCGGGCCCGAGAACTGTGCTGCAGTAGGCGACGAGAACAGAGGTGGAGGGTCCAAAGTGACTGTTGGAACTGGAG